TTCCATTTCAGATAATGAAAACTTGAACGAGCCATGGCTTTGAATTCACATTGAATGCTCTGGCACTAAAAGCGAGCTGTTCAGTTTGCTGAGCTACAGCGGAAGTCACACGTGTTTCCTGTTACGTACCGGGAGCTCTTTGACTATAGTTCTTGCACATAATTACCTTATTGTAAACTTGTGGGATCTAGCACTTTCATGTATTCGTGTGATGTGTAAACTGACAGATCAGATATTTTATTCCAGAGATATTTAAAAAGATATACATCACGCTAGTACTTGAATATTTTGTCACGTTTTGTTCTTTTTTATTGTTTTGTTACAAAATAAACTTTTTACTTACTGAAAATGGTGAAAATTTAATAAGCGCCCAGCCTCGAATAAGCGCCCACCCTGAAAGTCCAAAAATTAAATAAGCGCCCTGGAAGTCCAAAAATTAAATAAGCGCCCTGGGCGCTTAATCGAATAAGTACGGTATTTATTACCATTTAATTATTGGTCGAATGTCACCACATACTTGGATCTTCTTTCTCTTGTGGACAGTGTACTCAAAAATATGTGGGATGCGGCAGGATTTTTTTTTTGCATGGGGGACAAATCTCCTGCAACACTACTTGCCGGCGTCATTATTCAACCTCTAGTTCTTTTCAATGCCATAAAAGTTATGCTATATCAGTAGCCACATGCCCATTTTAATTCTTGTCTTCAGGTTGATTTTCGTGCAACTATTTCGCTACCATATGTCTATATGTTACACAAATTTGGCAGCTGATTTTTCATATTTTGAGATTTGAAGTTTTCATTTGATGTGACCTTTCCAAGCGATTTTACTCTTTGTTCAAACTGATTTCGCGTATCTGTTTTGGCTATACTTTACACATATTTGGCAGCTTATTTACTATGTTTTGACGTTTTATAGATTCCATTCCAGTGAATTGACCTTTCTTTTTGTCACGCAAACACCTCATGAGCTAATTTGCTCTTGGGGCGTGAATCTTTGAATTTTATTCCCCTTGCGGCTTCGCAACTTGCTCAAATGCCGCCAGCTATGCACACTAGTTATTACGTCCTCATATGTAAAATTGCCCATTTTGTTAACGCTTCCATGGTGTCCAGTTTAAGCCAGCCTGAGTTTAAACTAAGTGTACACAACGTTTCCGGGAGTACCTTTCTATATAATAAACACTCTTAATTTCCCTAATAGCATTTTCTCCTATTAAGAACCAAAATTCTTACCATAACAATCATTTTATTTTGATTCTTTCAAGGAGAATCGAGGTTCCTGCAATAATACCGAATAGAAGAGAATTCTTCTGCTAAGATTGTATTACACCAGAAAATCTTGAGAAGAATCTCTATTTCAGGAACTCTTGACACAAGAGTTCTTTTCTCAAGAACAAGGAAAGAATGTTTCATTGTAAATCTTGTGAAAAGAATTGCAATTTCAGAAACTCTTGCCACAAGAATCGGGAATTCTTTTCTCAAGAACGAGAATTCTTTTTCGCAGGCAATTAAATAGAGAGTTCTGTTGGAAATAATGCTAAAATGCAAATCTTATGAATAAAATCGCAATTTCAGAAACTCTTGTCACAAGAATCGGGAATTCTTTTTCTCAAGAACGAGAATTCTTTTTGGCCGGCAATGAAGTAGAATGTTCTTCTAGAAAGAATGTTTAATTGCAAATCTTACAAAAAGAATCGCAATTTCAGAATTCATTAGATAAAACCGAAATTTTATTAAGTTTACTTTTATTGCCAGTAAATTTGATAATTATAGACCTAACCATCCGATAAAGTCTGTTAAGCTTTGCTACTCTACTGCGATGGAGTAGGTACATGAACGATGCCCTGGACTGAAAACGAAAAATGATGTCGTAGCCGCGATAGTATTAATTTACATAATTAAGTTACATAATTAATTTAAGTTTTCGTGTGAAAATTCACAACACCAAAATCAATAACTTTGGAAGCGAAAGACTTATCTGGAGGTTTGAGCAGTTCCATGATAATCCTTAAATCTCTCATATGAATCTGATTTGCTGGCTAGCAAGAGAAACGCCGTCGATGTTAAGCGCTTGGTAACCACCCTATATCGGAAATCTGTTGGGTGGGCTCAACGTTTTTAACGTCTTCTGAAAAAGTGCGCCGAATAGTAGGTTGTTGCCTTGTTTTCATTTCACACGAGTAAGGAGATTTCAGCGGCATATACTGCCTTCCGCTCCAAGGTTAACTTTTACGTTAGGAGGGCATTTAAATCTGGGTTCATATAAAATGATTCAATATAGATGTACTAGGAGTGTCAGCTGCGTTCTTGTTACAATAATTCAGTGTCAGTCGATCGATGGAAGTTTGTATCAATAGGGTGAGGTCCAAGAAACTGAATCCAACTTGATCGGACTTAACCTTCATTGGGAACATGTTGTTACAGGGCGTGAAATTGCGCCTAATACAGGCGCCAATGCGACTAAATTTTTCCCTTTGGCGACCAAACCTTGAAAATTAGTCGCCAAATTGGCGACTAGAATGTTTCATCACAACCTCACCGAGAGATATAGTGAATCAAAAAGATTTGCAAAGATAAATCCGCGGCAAACTTCCTCGTTAAGTTTGTTTCCAAAACTCAGATCAAGTATCTCAATCGATAACTAGACGCCATCTTGGATTTAGGTGAGCTTGAACGTTGTATATCATCCATCCTAGTGTCCACTTTGTAGAATGTTAGAGATTTTCCCTAAATTAATTTTGGAGGGTCTATCTTAAACGTTGACAGCGTAAAAAAAGGTTTTGTTTGTCTTTGAAAATGGCGACCAACTTTTTTTAATTGGCTACCACTTTGAAGAATTTAGAAGCCAAGTGGCTATCAGAAAAAAAAGTTAATTTCACGCCCTGTGTTAACAAAGCTGTTGGAAAGAAGTGCTCTTAAGGAAATGATTGAACCCTGTTTATATTGCACTGATTGCAGGACTGACAAATTTTATTTCAGTTGCTGAGCTCGACGTCAAGATAAATCACAACTGAATGGAGCCGAATTATGTACTTGAAGGCTTCAATTTGCAACAAAATTAAGCTCTTTATGTATGATTCATAAGTAAGCATACCTCTTCCCCTTTCAATTATGTTTGCGAACAAAAAAGTACTGGATTGCTCACTTACAGAAGGGATCATAGGAAACAACTAGGAGTTGCAACTGGCATGCTATTAATTCATTGATGTATAACAACTGCTTTGTTGCAGATTGTAACAGTCAATGAATGGTGTGGGGTATGATGAGCCTGGGAATGATATACATACATATATATATATATATATACACACACACGCGCGCGCGCACATACACACACACACACACACACATATATATATATATATATAGATAAAGAATGCTGTGGTAGCAGAGCTGGTTAGATATAAGAAAGAATCAAAGAGGACGATTCTTCTCTGTAACTCTGAGTTTTGTGCCCTAAAAGCTCGTCACACAAGCGCTTAAGCTGATAAAAATTGAAAGTTGTCAATACAGTGAATCATATATAGTTGTTCATTGGTAATTTGATGTATACATCATGTTGTGAATATGTAAGTTCATTATATTTTATGTGAATTGTATGTTTAAAATAGAACCAAAAAAAATGGGGTATGATTTGAAAGAGATATGATATTTTTTAACTAAGAGACAAAGAATGAGATATGTAGATAAACAGTGAATGTTGTTGATACAGCGAATGTTAATATAGTTGTTCACTGATCACTTGATGCATACATTACGAATATGTAAGTTAATTTTATGTTATGGTGCATGTATGTTAAAAAATAAAACCAATTAAAATGAGATTTTCTTCAGCGTTATTTTCTGTGTTAAAGGAAAATCAATCCTTTCAATAACTCAACAAAATCCAGTAAAGGCATAAGATTCCTCTCAACAGAATGTTCAGACCTCAGAAGAGCACAAAGACTTTATCAGCAAGAATTCTTTTGAATGTGATTCTTCACATAAGCAAAGTCAATCGCTGGAGAAGAACAATCAATTTAAAAACGAATATTCATTCTTGGGTGAAGAACAAAAATTCTTATGAGAAGACTCAGAAACTTACATTCTTCTCTACAGGGAAGGGCAGTAATTCTTCTGATGAGCTTGCTTAAAATAGGAGATTCTGCTTAAATGGATTTCATCTTGGGAGGAAAGCAGTGTTTCTTCCTTGAAGAATACCTCATTAACTGGTTCTGGCAAAATAATTTTGAACTTGTGGGAAAAAACTGGTATTTTTCTAACAAGAATCAGACCTACATGAGATTCATCTCATAAGAATTCTTAACCTTAAGAGAAGACCCACATTTCTCTCTTCAAGAACCAGATTTCTTCTCCTCAGAAGTATAATCTCTGAAATAACAAATTATTCTCTGAAGAGACACGAATCTTCAGAAAGAATTTAATTTCTTTTCAAAGAATTGAATGTAAGTGTTGATTGATCTAACCAGTGTTTAAAATGTGAAAACCACCTATTTAAACGCTTTTTTACCTCAACGGTGTTTAGTTCATGTCTAATCAAGACTAGAGAACAATGTTGATGTTGAATTTTTGTGTGAATATTTGCTTTACAGTCATCTAAACTTGATATGTAGTGAACACTGCAGAACCACAAAAAAGATTCATAATAACCTGTCCAAAAGTTCCAGTTGCATAAAATCTCATAGCAATCAGACCATGTTGCATTAGCATCAGTGGAAGTCACTCTTTTGACTCACTCTAAATCACTCTTCACTTCAATTCTTTTGAGCAGAATTTAAATTCTTTCTGAAAGATTCTTCCAGGGTTTGAGCTAGGATTTGACTATTTAGGGTCAATTTGTCCCTTTAGATTATTTTTGGGGGGACATTTTCCATTTCTGAGGGTCGCTTGAGCATAGGGAAAATTTCAAACTGAACTAAAATTTTAAACATTTAATGAAATATCAACAAGTTACATTGTAAGGTGGCATGCTTCTTTTTATCTTTCTCTGTAAACTCTTAACTGTATGATTCTCTTACAACCAGCAGCTGATCATGGCCACTAAAATAATTAAGAAAGTGACTATTTGTAAAAGAACAAGACCAACAACGCTGTTGTGCCATTATCATTTTAACATTATATCATATTTGTTCTTGCTTCCACATTTCATTGCAGATCCTTCTTAGTTAATTAACATCTTACATGTACATTTATAATAGCAGTATTTCACGATTTCAAAATTCTCCTGTTCTTTATAGCCCACTCTTCAAGGGCTAATGAAAAATCAAAGTCCACAGAAGGTGGCCCCTCGACGTCTATGGTCATAAGTACATCTAACCTGTTGGCTTTTAGTCTGTTTCTCAATGCATTTTTAATCCTTTTTTGGGCACTGAAGCCTCTCTCACAACAATTTCGGGGGAAAAAGCCGCAATTTTGAACATTTTGTCAAAGTATCCAGAATTGGATGAAACACTACTAAAGTGGTTTTGGGAGAAGAAGAGTCAGGATAAGTCTAAAAGTCTTTTATTTTGAATCACAATTTTGTAGTTTAAAAAAACAACGCTTTACTCAGCCGAGTTCTGTCAGATCGTGTTGCAATGTTTACACAAGCCGTGGGAATGACTGCTTCTGATTGGTCAGTTTCCGATGTTGTCAAAATGAGACAAAACAAACATTTAAATCTTGCTTTTCTTATCTTTCACAAAAATTGCTGTTAGCGTATTGATTCCGCGGCTAAAACCAAATTGTTTATTGAAAAATTGTGCCGTTTATGGTCGAATTTATGTTGAATTTCAACTCTTGCAATTTTTTTTTGGGGCACAAATACTTCAGTAAAATTTGTCGCAAAAATCGCTCGCTTTTTTAGGGGACAAATTGACCCCTGAATCATTTTTGGACGGGACATTTTAAATTTTATTGCGGGATTGGCGCAATGGCGCGGCCTGGCTCAAACCCTGACTCTTCAGATAATTTATCATTTCAGATTCTTCGTCCCCAGAGGAGAATTATAATTCTGAAGAGAAGAAACCTGGTTCTTGAGGAAAGAATTATGGGTATCGTCCTGAGGTTAAGAATTCTTATTATTAAATCTTGTGTATGTCTGATTCTTGTTAAAAGAATACTAGTTTTTTTCCCACAAGAACAAAATTCTTTTGCTAAGAACCAATTAATGAGGTATTCTTCTGAGAAGAAACACTGCTCTCCTCCCAAGATGATATCCATTTAAGGAAAGAATTGCGGGTCTCCTCCCAAGGTTAAGAATTCTCATGAGAAAAATCTCATGTATGTCTGATTCTTGTTAGAATACTAGTTTTTCCCCACAAGAACAAAATTCTTTTGCCAGGAACCAATTAATGAGGTATTCTTCTGAGAAGAAACACTGCTCTCCTCTCAAGAATATCCATATCTCATTCTTTGTATATTAGTTAAATATATCATTCCCTGATCATACACTATACCATTCATTACTTTTACAATCTGTATCAAAGCAGTTGTTGTACATCAATGAATTAATAGCATGCCAATTGCAACCCATAGTCCTTTCCTATGACCTCTTCTCTAACTGAGCAATCCAGTACTTCTCTAGATCTGTTCACAAACATGATTGAAAGTGGAAGGGGAATACTCAGTTTTGAATCATGCAAAATAGCTCATTTTTCTTGCAAATTGAAGCCTTCAAGTACACAATTCAGCCCCATTCAATTGTAATTTATCCTAACCTCGAGCTCTAAAACTGAAATTGAATTTGTCAGTCCTGCAATTAGTAGATTATATATGAACAAGGTTCAATCAATTCCTGAAGAGCACTTCCTTCTAACAGCTTTGTTGACAGCATGTTTCCAATGAAGGTTGGGTCCAATCAAGCAGGATTCAGTTTCTTGGACCTCATCTTATTGATAGGAGATTCCGTCGATCGGTCGACACTGAATTATTGTAACAAGAACCCACCTGACACTCCGAATATTCCCATTGAATCACTCTATATGAACCCAGATTTGAACGCCCTCCTAACGTACAAGTTAACCTTGGAGCGGAAAACAGTATTGGCCGCTGAAATCTCCTTCCTCGTATGAGATCGAAACAAGGCAACGACAATCTGTCATTCGGTGCACTTTTTTGAGAGACGTTGTAAACGTTATTGAGCCCGCGCAACCGAAATCGGATATAAGGCGGTTACCAAGCGCTTAGCATCGACGCGTTTCTTTTGCCTGCTTGCACATCAGGTTCCAAAGACACAAATTTAAGAACTATTTTGGAACTGCTCAAACCTCCAGATAAGTCTTTCGCTTCCAAAGTTATTAATTTTGGTGTTGTGAATGTTCACACGAAAATTTGATGTAAATTATCGCAGCTACGACATCAGAGTTCCTCAGAATGTTTTGGAAGGTGAAGTACTGAGCTATATCAAGTGGCAAGATCTAGAATATTTATATAAAAATAGTCTTGCTATTGAAGTTTTTAAAGTTAAGCAGGGCTTAAACCATAGGCAAAACCACTTTAAATCCACAACAATTCTTGATAAGGACATAAACTTTTGTATTATTAAATGTAAATATTAATACCTTAAAATTTTGAATCTATCTATAATTAGTTGGTTATTTTCTTTTATTGTAAATAGGTTTCCTCATGTTACTGTAAATGGTATTGTTAATGCTCTGTAAGTTTTAAAATAGTAGATTTTAGTACTTCCTAGGTAGGTCTACATCAGCTGTAAAAATTGCCAATACTGACCTGCATTACTAAATAAACTATGTATGTATGTATGCATGTATGCATGTATGTATGTATGTATGTATGTATGTAGAACTCTCTACTTCATTGCCTACTGAAAAGAATTCTCGTTCTCGAGAAAAGAATTCCCAGTTCTTGTGGCAAGAGTTTCTGAAATAGAGATTCCTCTCAAGATATTCAAATGTAATCCATTCTAACCGCAAGAATTCTCTCTTCTGTTCAATCTTGTTTCAAGAACCTCGATTCTCCTTGAAAGAATCACCATTAAAATGTTTATTCTGATAAGAATTTTGGTTCTTAAGAAGAGAATATGTTATCTGGGGAATTTAGAGTGCGGACTGATTAATACAGTAAGCGGCGTGTAAGCACCATTAAAGCATTGAGCATAATATCGGATTAATGACTAAACTTCTAGAAAAAACTCTCTTGATGTTACAGTTCAACAAGACTCAATGCATAGTTTTGGCCCAATGCCATGTTTCAGGGGTGACGCTCCAGATAGACTGTCGCGGTCGAGCGAACATCTTTGGTGGCAGCATGGTAACGTGAATATAGGTGGAATTTAATTAGGATTCACTGTCTGTTGCCGTTCCTTCGAAAAAAAAAGAAGTGTTTACGGGCCTACGCGACTCCTGTTATTCCTCCTTGACAAATTCGCTCTTAGAAGGCAACTTACGAAATTCACAAAGAATCGAAAATCTTTACCATCGGTAAAAGCCCTTCCAGCGCAACTTGGTAACGCTTGACCGAATCATCAGACATTACGATCGACATATGCTACGGGCTCAAACGATTTACTGTACAGCTACAAACAAATCTTATGCGAGAAAACACGTTTTGATAGTGGTTAAGAACTAAACGAAAAAAAAGAGGAATTTTTTGATAGCGGTTAAGAATTTGGATAAATGAAAAGAGAGTAAACTTACCAAGGGACATGCAAGAAATTAGCACAAGAACAAATATCACAGTCATCTCTACACGTTTCACATTTCCCATTTGCGTGCTTGAGGAATCTTTTGTTTTCGTCAATTGATATAGCCACTGTAGCGCAGGTGGACCGAAAGAAGACCACCGCGGGGGGCACTATGTAGATAAGTGCGTGATCACCACAATATTTGGTCAGCGGTTATTACCCTCTTTTATCGGGCAATTCGTTATTCAACATGTTGTGTGTTTTCCGTGGTTAAAGCGAGGAAAGTATCGATATTACTACTCTGATAAAGCTTTCACCGGTAAATAAACTTACGGTTCCTTGAAATTAAGGGATCGATAAGACAATCGCTCAGCCGTAGACATTATCAGCTGTCTTTCTGGCCGGCCGCCCGAAGAGGTTTATTTACAAAATTACAAAATAATGTCACTCATGTATAGCACTTTTGAGTCACACCTTCCGAATAATTTCTTATTGTTAGGTAAGGCCGTTACTCTTGTCAGAAGAAACACAAAGAAGATCAAAACCTTTTCTTTTGCAATTTAGTGCTGCTCACCAAAACAAAGAAAAAATGTTATCAGCGTAGGGCCTGATACCACAAGAGCCGACAGTATGACTGGTCCGTGTGTCATTCGTCCATTCAATTTTTGTTTAATGGACCCCTCCCCCTCCCTCCTGGGTAGTTCCGTCAACAATTTGGAATGTTTTGTCCGAAAAACAAAAATTGAAAATTGATTGCAATTTTCAATTTTCAAATTTTAGACTTCCGCCGAAAACAGAAAAACTAAGCCACGCCACAGACTGCAACATTTTCGGAGAAGCAAAATTGCCGCTCAGTTTGATTTTTCTCCTCGTTATTGACAGGATTAAAGTAAAAATATGCGTTATGTTTCAATACTCTACCAAAAGGAAAAAATGTCAAATATTTTCGATTTGGCACTTTCGTATTTTTTCTGATAACAAAATTTTTAGAAAAATCAAAAATTGACATCAATTTTCAATTTTGATTTTAAACAAAAATTGAATGGACGAATGACAAACGGACCATGTCTCGCGCGAATAAGCAAATTTAGGAAATTGATTTTCTGTCACGAACATGAACTTAGTTGTTTTGACCTTCGTACAGATGTAAACAGCAAAGAAAACAATGACACGCCATACTGCAGTCTACAATGCGTTGGAGTGCAATTTGTGGTCTTTACAAATTTACAAGGCTTATTTATTCCAAATTGCACGAGAAAAATCATGTGATAACGTGTTAATAATATACATGAAAAAATACGAGATAGCTAATCATACTTATGCAGAGGCAAAGCGCGCGCATCAGGTACAAAAATAACTTATTCAAATCTGCAAGTGACATTGTGCGTTCAGTCAAAACATGCCGTGGACATTTTCAGCTGTCTTTCCAGCCGTCTGAAGAGGTTTATTTACGAAACAAAGTCACCCATGTACAGCTTTCTGATCGCTAGGTAAGGCCGTTACTCTTGTCAGAGGAAACACAAAGGAGATCAAAACCCTTTCTTTTGCAATTTTAGTGTTGCTCGCAAAAACAAAACAAAAACGTTATCAGCGTAGGGCCTGGTACCACAAGACCCGACAGTATGTCTCGCGCGAATAAGCGTGCGCTCTGATGTTGATAAGTAACTGTTCAGGATCATATATTGTATTCTCTCCTAGTATGTTACATTTTCAGTTATGATACAACTCTTTTATCGAGGGGAGGGGTGCGAAGGTGTACAGTGATATTTTTACATCTTCAAGACGCAAAAAAGTTCAAAGTCCGGCTAAACAGTTCAGTCTGGTTTGTTGATTCTTTGCATTGAATTAACCCTCTTCTGCATTAAATTACCTGAAGGGCTAACGCTCGAAACGTTTGCCTAGAAATTCTACAAGATGGCCAATTTACATTTATAAACTCAGCTGATAAGCCAAGTTATCTTAACAACAAACGTGGGAACAGTTATTATTAAAGTTTCTTGGGTGATTGATTCAGGGCCTGTTTACATGGAGGTAAGGACCCCAGGTAGGTGAGGTAACTCGCCTGTCCTTATAATTTCTTATTTTATCTTGATTATGTTTACATGATAAGGTAACCCTGTCAGCCGGGGTGACAATTTGCCATGTAAACGTGTCAAGGTGGGGTAACCCGCCTAGCCGGGGTCGCGTTCATGGCAGAAAGCTCAAAAGCGAAACATGTATGTTTTAGAGCTTTGTACAATTCCTAGCCGTCTCATGCCAGAAATCACCAGAAACCACAACGGCCACACAAGGAGTGTAAAATGTTCACATTTCGGACTTATTCTGAAAGTGACTTATTCTTTTTCTGTTAACTTTGGCGCAGTACTTACGTTAGTCCCCGCATTTCATCTAGCGATTTTAGTATTTCCAATTTGTCATGGCATCGACTAAAAACCGCAAGGCCTTCAATTCGTTCCTTCTGAACCGCAAATCCGGCCAGAAATTGGGCTTCGTGTAGCCTCTTGTTTTCCGAGAGTTATGCATGAATAATGACGGATAGGAAACTAATTATTCAAAGTCTTACGGAAGTTCATTGAATATTGACATAGCGCTTTCAAAACTCTCAAACGTGATAGACATAATTAAGTCTTACCGACAAAGGACAGTGGAATTAAAAACGAAACAACGCGGAATTAAGACAACGAAATGTTCATTTACATCAGCTAACGTAATTATCGACAACGCTGGCGCATTTCATGTCAAAATTATCAACGTTAACTGTACTTTATTGTGGAACAGAAGCCAAAGGCCCACTAATTTTGCATCGGGGTAGGGCCAAGTCGATTGGAACAGTTCAATAACTGTTTACTTCGCTTTTTTAAAATTACGACCAGCCGCAGAGTAGCTCTCATATTGGATACTTCCACCGTGGCTGGGGAGGGTTATTTTTATTAGTCACTTTACTCAGGTGAATATTAGAGCATCTGCATGTCGTGTTATCCCCTTCTTTAGACATTTCAAAAAGTATTACGCAACGTCAAGTTAAGAACTTATTATAATAAACTCGTGCGGGGGGCTACCAAGGTGTTTGGGACTATTTTATGGGTCGCAATCACGATAACCAAAGTGACGGTTAACGGAGATTTATTGTCGTTGAAAACCAGAATACTAAAACGACCACGATATTAAGACGACCATGTAGCTAAAACAAACAAGTGGCTGAAAACGACCGCAAACTGAAATAATAATACAACTAATTCCTATTAATCGAGGCGAAAACTTCCGAAATATAAGGTAAAAGCATGTGAAACAAATCTAACTTAATTACAACTGAAATCGCGATGAAAACAAAAAAGGCAAAGGAAAAAACTACGTTAAGAGATTCACGCAAATAGTCAATGGCCTAAGCGTTCTCAAACTAAAACATTTCCCATTTGCTTGCTCGAAGAATCTTTTGTTTTCGTCATGTGATTTAGCCTCTTTAGCCCAGGTGGACTGGGAAGAGAAGCACCGCGGGGGACTCTTTGTTTATAAATACGATATCACCACAACAGTTGGTCAGCGGTTATTACCTTCCTTTTCTCGGGCAATTTGTTATTCAATATGTTGTGTGTTTTCCGTGGTTAAAGCGAAGGGGAATATCGATAACGCTACTCTGATGAAGCTCTTACCGGTAAGTAAACTTACAGTTCATTGAAATCTTAGGACTAACCTTTACTTTTTTCAATTGAATTAAGTTTAGATACAACCAATCACAAAGATTAATTTGATCATCTGTTACGATTTTTGACCAATCACATTTCATGGGCGAGCTTGTAAATGTTTGAGTGATACACGTCTTTCTTCTCAGAAAGATGGAGCTTTTCCGAGAGTTCAGGAAGTTGATTTTCTGTCACGAAACAAGAGCTTAATTGTTTTGGCTTCCTTACGGATGTGAACAGCAAAGAAAACATAATACGCCATACTGCAGTTTACGATCGTGTGTTCTGGGTGTTGGTAAATGACTCGACCCTTTTCCTTATAAGTCTTATGAGTCATTTCCAAGTTATATCTGCTCCACAATGGCTGAGCTTGTTTTTCGATTTCCCAGTCTTTGATTGTGTTGAGACTAGATTTGTTTTGCCATTTGAAGCATCTAAGAAGCACTCTCTGACAGCGTGAAAAGCTGTGTATAACTTCGCATTTTACGATTTGAAAATGGAATTTTTAAATGTTGTCTCCAAAGAATGGTTTCCAGTCGTTTGAAAACAGTAGCTCAAGTCATCTATTTAATTTCAAGTAAAGTGGTCACTCTTGTGGCTGGTGTTCAGTTCCCAGTTTCTGAACGTCCTATACCAGGAAAAGTAGCGAGATCCAAGAATACTGTGTAGCACATGAATTTTATTCTACGTTGTCCCCTATTAGCTCATATAGCTAAAGTGTATTGGCACTTGAATAAAGTTTATTAGTAATATTATTATTGCGTTCCTCCCTGCATACAAATGTGTCTCCCTTATTTCCGTATACTGAGTTGGCGTCAGCTAACTGGCTCTGACAGCAGTTTTTACTCCTCTCGGCCAAATTCGCGATCCTGACGAAGATCTTCGAACATTTGCGTCCAAAATATGGAAGCAAATGCTAATTTACCGATTTGCTCTGGTGATAATATGCGATTTCCTTTCCACGCGCGCGATTTCCGAAACCAAAACAAAAATAGCGGACAGTGATTATTCCATCCGTATAAAGCTTGCGAGAATTTCTGCTTACATTTTAAGTCTCCATTCAAGAGAAGATTCTGCCAGATTCCTCGCCCAGGCCAATTCAAACAGCGGATATTAATATTTTGTCTATTTGCCTATTTTTCCCATCGGAATTTTTTGGGAAGGTTTTTTTCTGACCTCCGTTCTAATCGCTCTCACATTGTTAGCGGTTGCTTAGTTTTCTGTTTTTTACGTGTGCCTTTGACTTTGATGTGAATTGCTTTTCAGTGTTTGACTTCGGTGACTCGTAGATAAGTACCGTTGCTCTTAACTATAGACTGCTTACTTATTGTTATTTGCACCTACTTAGTATTCTAACTGTTCTTTTGGTCCAAAATAGAGGACTCCCCACCCTAACTGGCAGTTTCACGCTAATTTTGTTGGATTGTAAGTTTGTTAGCCTAACATGGCATGATTGATCGAACACATACGTTTATCTTTAGATTTTAGTTCATATTAGTGGAATTCCCAGCTTAACTGGTAGTCAGATCGAAAGATTGTACAGATAACGGCAATTTTTTCATGGACATCATCTAAGTGGCCGTGGTAACGAGTAAAGGCCTGGCCAAACGAACGCAACATTTCAACGCAACATCTGACAACATCGTTGGATCGTTGATGATTTTAGATATATGAAATTCATATATTTGCACTGCGGTGAAGAGATGAAATTAAGAGATCCTTGCAGCTAAGAACACTACTGAAACGAGTAGTTGAAAATAGGACCTGAAAAAAATTCAGGCCCGTACGGGATTTGAACCCATGACCTCTGCGATACCGGTGCAGCGCTCTATCAACTGAGCTAACAAGTCAACTGGGAGCTGGTCAATGTGTTGGGTCCAAATAAACCATCCAAGTAATGAATGATGATTTTAGATATATGAAATTACGGGCCTGAATCCAAAAATTGTTGCAACAAAAAGTGCTCCATTTCACTTGGCCTGTCTAGAAGAGTAGTTCTTTAATCAACGAACTAAACGAATTAATAAAGGCTACAAATGTGCATGCCAGAGACGTGATGGTGCTGGCTGTTGGCAGTGTTCATCTATTACACCGGTCTCCACTGTAGCAGTAGGCGGAACACAAGTTTGGGGAAGGATCGTTACAAAGATCCTTACATTTCACAATATTTTTGCACCATTGTTCGGTGCTAGTACAACCCTTGGCATACAACGTTCCTCTCCAACTTGGAATTGTTTGTTGAAACTTGGCACATGTACTCTGTAGTGGCGAACAGGTTTGTTTCTTCGCTTTACTTCCACAGTCATCCCAACTCTTGGCACTCATGCACTGGTAACACGTCAAGCAGTGCCCTGAAAATGAAAGTTACATTATGCGACAAAATCATTTATGGAGAGAATAAGACAGATGGCAAGTTTTGAGGTCGATAAAGAAATAGAGAAAGATGTTTTTCGTCTCGTCACGAGCGTGGGACAAAGAAAAGATTCTGAGTCCCCAAGAGGTATCGAAATTCCGCGCTCCGATGCTCTATCACTAAGCCTCAGAGACTCTTCTGTAAGCGAGGTCTATTACGAATTTCATATGACACGCGTCCTACATACTAGGATCAGCAATGTCGATAGCGTTATGTTTATAAATGGAATAAGAGAAATGGTAAGTTTTGAGCTCGGTAAAGAAATAGAGAAGGATGTTTTTTCGTCTTGTCACGAGCGTGGGACAAAGAAAAAAATTCTGAGTTCCCATGAGGAATCAAACCTCAGACCTTCGGATTCCGCGCTCCGATGCTCTACCACCACTCCAGCGTGTCAAAATAGAGAATCAGAGAATAATGTAGACCCAAAGATAAACACTTTTTAGTTCTTGCCGTGACACTACAAAAGACGAAAAACATCTGAAAAATCATTTAACAGTCATCCATCACTTTTCCTTGCAGAAATATCTCAGTAGAATTGATCTGCACATCATAAAAGCTTTGAGCAAAATTTTCTTCTTTGGAAAGAGGGTATTTTACCGTTTGAATCAGCGACGTATGCCAAAAAGAGCTGCTAAGTTTGCGAGGCGAGCAAGCTGCGAAGTCATTTAAGAGAATGATGGAACGGAGGAACGGAGGAACGGAGGAACGGAGGGACGGAGGGACGGAGGAACGGAGGAACGGAGGAACGGAGGAACGGAGGAACGGAGGAACGGAGGAACGGAGGAACGGAGGAACGGAGGAACGGAGGAACGGAGGAACGGAGGAACGGAGGAACGGAGGAACGGAGGAACGGAGGAACGGAGGAACGGAGGAACGGAGGAACGGAGGAACGGCGGAACGGAGGAACGGCGGAACGGCGGAATATCTTAAGACGTGAAATTACGGAATATCCAAAAAAAAAGGCGGAATGCCTTATTGTATGAAACAAAAGGCTCACAAAATGGAACTGCTATAAAATAAGAAAATAGCAGTCGAAATTGTTGGCGCTCAGAGAATATGGGAACCATGAGGCTTTCGAGCCAGCTGCTTTTAATTATTATCAAATTACTTTTGTTATCAATATCATTATTGTCAATATGATTATTTGTTACCATTTAATTATTGGTCAAATATCACTATATTCTTGAATCTTCTTTCTCATGTGGAACAGTGTACTTATAACTATGAGGGATGCGCAGGGTTTTTTTTTCGCATGGGAGACAAATATTCTGCAACACTACCTTCTGGCGTCATTGTACGACCTCTAGTTCTTTTCAACGCCATAGAAATTATGTTATATCAGTAGCCACAAGCCCATTTTAATTCTTGTCTTCAATTTGATTTTCGCGCATCTATTTCGCTGCCATATGGCTATATGTTACACATATTTGGCAGCCGATTTTTCATATTTTGAGGTTTTAAAGATTTCATTTGATGTGAGCTTTCTGAGCGATTTTAATTCTTTGTTCAAGTTGATTTCGCGTATCTGTTTTGGCTATACTTTACACATATTTGGCAGCTTATTAACTATGTTTTGACGTTTTACAGATTCCATTTTAGTGAACTGACCTTTCTTTTTGTCACGCAAACACCTTGTACGCTAATTTGCTCTTGGGGCGTGAATCCTTGAATTTTATACCCCTTGCGGCTTCGCAACTTGCTCAAATATTCCCCAATAAAACCGCCAGCTACGCACACCAGTTATTGCGACCTCGTATGTAAAATTGCCTATTTGCTACACAACAAATCCCTTAGCAAATTCGAGTTAACGCTTCAACAGTGTCTAGTTTTCAGAGGCCGTTCAAATCTTTGAAAGGCTTCAGACTACGACATACATCAAATTTGACCTTCTTGAAAACCGGTCTCAAGTTACGTACTGTAAAACAGTGATTGCGTTTGTCCTTGAGAACCATTGAATACGCGACAAATACGAACAAAAAATACTTCTACGCATTTAGAATCAATCAAATTTCATTTACCTATGGTGAAAGAAAAAGGAACGACCTAACTTTTACGGAACGTTCAGTCAAAATCTGCAGATTTCCGCCTTCATCGCCCTATCGAAAATAACGCTACTACAATGCAACGGAGTCGGAGTGCGCATTCCGCCCGGTGACGCTCAAAATTGTCGAGCATAATGCATAAGTTATCTGACCATACTGCCAGATGCAAACATCTAAGCCCAGTTATACAAAGGGCGGATAACGGTCTCCAATGGATAAATCGCTATCCAGCGGATAATTGTCAACAAAATGTATTAGGTTATCCACCAGATCGCGATTTATTTAGTGGATATTGTTATCCGACCTTAAAACAACCAGGGCTTGGAAGTTTATTTTTCCCCCTCAGCCATATTCCTTTCAAGTTTTCTCCTTTCATAAACTTCAGTTTATATTCAATATTCAGTGAACTTTTCGTTAGCAGTCAGCAGTCTTTACCATCAGTAAAAGCCCCTCTAGTACAATTTGGCAACGCTAGACCAAATCATCAGACGTTACGATCGAAATATGCTACGGGCTCAAATGATTTACTGTACAGCTACAAACAACTCCCAAAGAACCTTACGCGAGGATACACATTTTGATAGCGGTGAAGAATTCGGATAAATGAAAAGAAAGTGAACTTACCAAGGGACGTGCAAGAAATCAGCATAAGTCATTTCTACAGATTTCACATTTCCCATTTGCTCGCTTGAGGAATCTTTTGTTTTCGTCATGCGATTTAGCCACTGTAGCCCAGGTGGACCTGGAAGAGGAACACCGCGGGGGACACTTTGTTTATAAGTACGAGATCACCACAATAATTGGTCAGCGGTTATTACCCCCCTTTTATCGGGCAATTCGTTATTCAATATGTTTGTGTGTTTACCGTGGTTAAAGCGAGGAAAATATTGATAACGCTACTCTGATGAAGCTTTCACCGGCAAATAAACTTACGGTTCATTGAAATCAAGGGATCGATGAGACAATCTCTAAGCCGTGGACATTAACAGCGGTCTTTCCAGCCGCCTGAAGAGGTTATTTACAAAATAATTTCACTCATGTACAGAACTTTAATTGTGAGAAACACCTTCCAAATAATTTCTGATTGCTAGATACGGCCGTTGCTCTTGTCAGAAGAAACACAAAGAAGATCAAAACCTTTTTTCTGCAATTTTAGTGCTGCTCCCAAAAACAAAGCAAAAATTTTGTCAGCGTAGGTCCTGATACAATAAGACCCGACAGTACAGTCTCGTGCGAATAAGCGTGTGCTCTATGTTGAATCAGTAATTGATATTTACTGCTCAGGATCTTATATTGCATTCTCTCCTAGCATGTTACATTTTCAGTGTATGATATCACTCTTTTTATCGAGGGGAGGGGTGGGGAGGTGGTTAGGGCTTGGGTATTATTACTGGGATACCTGTGGTGGCCCAGTCATAAAAAATGCCTTTGTTTTTTTGTCTTTTTTTTTTTTTTTTTTTTCCTTCGCCACAAAATGGAAAAATTGCACAATAGTACCCAGAGGTCATTGGGCCCTCAACACCATCCAGAGGTCATTGGGCCCTCGACACCATGACAACTAACTGTGATCCAATGAGGTGTTCACATGCTGATCGCGCGTGTTATTCCTCGACACCGTGACAACTAACTGTGATCCAATGAGGTGTTCACATGCTGATCACGCGTGTTATCTTGATGATGATTGACGTTGTCATGCACAAACAGGGCCGGGTCACATGACGAATCACGAGATTTTGCTTATAAAACTCTTTGGTCAATTGTTTTGTATTTCAACGTAATTGGATTGCGATCTCCTGGAGCATTATGGCGCAAACGCGCAAAATACTTAGAGACGCATATACAAGTCGTATTAATCGCGGCTAATCCACACTGAAAGATGTTATTGAGCGGTAATTTTGGAACGGATTGAGTCGCGAACGCTTGAAAGCCTGGAATGCCTTGTATGCTAAGTATGCCAATGTCTTAGTTGAAAAACGTTCACTTGTTGTAAAAAGCAAAATCTGAAATCTGAAACCAAACTGCATATACTCTATGCAATCTATTGAACAACACTGCTACCGTGAGACTGAAGAACATAACTATAATGGATGCAAACTGCTTGTGAAGAAAGACGACATGTTGGATTCACCTGATGGCAAGGAACGTAGCTACGATAACAGTATGAATGGTATTAATTTCACGATCAGAAAGGTGAATCGTAGGTTTGTTTTCATTGTAGTTATATGGATATTCTTTTTTAATAAATACGTGATCCAAAACCCTGTGTTTTTTTGTGCATAATGTTATTATGTTAAATATTGTTTACGCAATTGTCTTGTCACAGGCGGCCCAAGCTCACGTCTCGAGAAAAAGCCAACGATTAATTCATGAACGCGTCACGCGTTGTGTGACTCGGTGTTAAGCTACGAGAGGAAATGCACGTTATAAGGAATAGTATAGGGAACGAAGTATGGTCGATTTACAACGATATATATTTCGAAATATGAACATTTTTCTCGTAAAATAAATAAAAATTACTCATACCCTGTGTATCCGTTGTATTTTCTGGCGATTTCTGCCGTTTTAAGCTTGCTTTACCATCACTGTTATTCACGTCATCTACTCTAATTACGTTGGTAAAATCTGTACAGACACCACACCAACCAACTCGCGCGCAAAGTAAGAAGACTATATTGAAGGCTTGAAATAATATTGCGATCGATTTTCATCAAGAAATGGGCTAGGAATATTCCACAATAGTGCAAATAATAGTGAAGGCGGATCGCAGAAAAGCGATTGCGTGACGCTCGGTAAGCTGTAAGATGACATGTTATTATATACCAGACGTAAAAACTCTTCAGATTCTTAGTCTGCATTTTGTACCCACTCTACAGTCCATATTTTGTATCTGGTCTGCAGTCTGCTGTCTGCATTTTGTACTAACAGGTATCCGTGGCACCAATACAGTTTATTTTTGGTTACATTTATTCGCAAAACACACATAATCTACCACAAAATACCTGTGAGTGAGGTAATTCGACATTTTCATTCTTTCCCACATCAATATTCTTCTCTCCTTTTGTAAGAATGTAGACATCACTCACAATGTTTCAAGTAATCCACCCACCCTACATCTAGTTATAGTTCTCACTAGAGCTGCCCCCGCCCTACAGTACCATTTTCTTTTTTTTTTTTTGAGTTGGGCTTGTTGTTTACAGTTGTGTAGTTATGACCATTTGCGGGAAAAACGTTGATACCTTGCGGCCGTGCAAGCGATCAAATCGAGATTTTTTTGGTTACGATCAACCGAAAACACCTACATTCTCTCTTCTCCAGTCTTCCTCTATACTAGGACAAATCTCGTGTCAAAGACGCCGATCCTAAAAGTCCTCGCGCGCGTGTCTTTTTACTGGCAGCCCATGACCATTTGCGGGAAAAACGTTGATACCTTGCGGCCGTGCAAGCGATCAAATCGAGATTTTTTCTGGTTATGATCTACCGAAAATACCCACATTCCCTCTTCTCCAGTCTTCCTCTATATTACGCGGGGAGTCCTAAGGTGCCTCCTCGGGTTTTTGGCCCTCTGGGGCCAAAAACCCTGCGGGGGCAAAAAAGTAACTCTTGCATGCATAGCATGCCTATGTTTTGAAATAGGTTTATGCCCTTGGCCAGACTTGAGCGCACTATTTCAGTATACTAGTCCGACACCCGTAGTATCACTACACTTAATTCCAAGGATCCAGTACCATCCAGGTATCCCAGTTACCCTGCTCACAGGGTCTAGTTGGTTCTGATGTAGCGTGTGAACGTCAGAACCTGATATGTGTAGTTGCATAAGTCTAGTCAGCGAGATATTCTAGAAGGATGGAGTGGCCTTGTGGAATTGGTCTTTTGTGGTTTGAGAAAAAATTCTCAACTAAGCTCTATGGACTGGATGGTCGTGGGATACTATGCAGTCCTCTTGCCAGCAGCAAAGGGTAAATATGTTGTTGGTTGAACTGAACTAGATTTGATTTCACCTTCGACTGAAGGAAATGTTTATCAAAGAAAAGCAATGTAGCAATTATGCAAAGATCATCGCAATGAAAACTTTGAACTACCCTTTATTAAAAAATGGAACAGCTTTTCAAAATAATCTGTTTCTTAGGCTTGGTTAAAGTATTGCTTGCGATGTTTAAAAAAATGAAACATTGGAAAAGATATTAATAACAGCTGCTTTAGTTTCTGTCTATAGCTACAAAGTTCAACAACAACTAAGAAAACTGCATCTTTTCATTCTAATACAGCAAAGCCATTAAAGTGCATGCGATAAGAGCAGCGGCGCTGACTTTCTGTAGTGTGGCAACGTTACACAGGTCACCGGAGCAACAATCCAGTTTACACTTTCCCTTGCCTTTACAGAAGTCGAGTGTGCTCAGGTCAGTATTGCAATTTTCTTTAGTCATACAGCCTTTGCCATATTCTTCAACGGATGCACCTTCATCTTTTACGTGTGCAGACGCTTTGAAGCAGCGATCGTATCCGGCAGGACAATCCATTTCTTTTTTGATGTCCTTGCAGTCATCCCAGCCTTTGGTGGTCAAACATTTGTAACACTTCAAGCCGTATCCTAAGGTAGGAAAAGAAGATTTTTTTAATTCATTGGCAGCTCTTCAGAATGGAATTACTTCTTTAAAACAAAGGAGAACAAACAACTTATTGGGTAACATTGTAGTTTCTTCGTCCTTCCATCTTCAATAAGATGGGTTATGGCGACGACAGTGCGACGCAACCGGGACGAGAAGTTACCGCTAGATAGTGAATGGTTTTAGCTTAAGTATCATCTTCTCAAACATCCTTGCGATTAGCGTATTTCGAAACATCATCTGTGATGTACGCCCATAACGAAATTTACACTCAATACGAAAATTAGCAGTTGCCTCTCCAAGCATACGTTCAAATAAAACGGAAAATAAAGAATTCTGTAGCGACAGCTACATAATTTCATCGACGCAATGTTGTTGGAAAAAAATGAAGAATTGACTAATAAGCACTTTGTTGCGCAATTTTTTCTACCATATCTTAATTAGTCAATTTACTGCTTTCCAATGGCGAGCAAAGCATAATTGACGAAGCTGGACTCAAAATAACCTTGGAATCCGTCAGTTTGATGTTCAGTGAGTCATCACACGCTAGAAATGGGCGCTGGCTGAATGTAAATTATTTGTGTGTTTTCCAGGATTTCAAGTGTAAATGTGTAAATAATCGCGCCTAATCCCTCAATTTTCTTTATGCCGAGAACCGTGCACTAATTCTAATTAGTAAATTCCGAACAAAACCAGGTAATGAAGGAAAATTGAAGATATAAACCGACCACAACTCGTCGTGCGCCAAGAGCCGAGCGAGTGTATTTTACCCAAGCTTGTAACTTAAGCAACAGTAAAATTAGTCTGTGAAAAAAAGTACTTGAACTTACCAACAGAAATGCAGAGGAAAAAGGTGATGACGAAAAGTAACTTCATCTTACAACTTGAATGCCTCTCCTTTATTTTCGTCCGGAACGCCAAAAAGTAGATTGTATGATAAAGTCGGACGCCTTCCGATGAAGTCCAAGGACTAACCTTTACTTTTTCAAATAAAATTATGGTCAGATCCAACCAATCGTAAGGATTGATTGGATTATCTGTCATGATTTGTAACCAATCACATTTTATGGGCGAGCTTCTTGTTGTTTGATTGATGGAGAAAGATGGAGCTTTTCCGAGAATTCAGGAAGTTGATTTTCTGTTAGGAAACAAGAGCTTAATTGTTTTGGCCTCCAGCAAAGTAAACATGACACGCCATACTGCAGTTCTGAGTGTTAGTAGAAGACTCGACCCTTTTCCTATTTTTTCAATGTTTTTGTCCAAGCTCTTGGCAAGCGTTAACTTCACTTTGTGACATGAAGCCCTTGCGATAACGAAGTATTTAAAGGTTATCATGTAGTTTAATAATTATCCCTCCGCCCGAAGTAAAGAGGATACGACTCAACAGGGCGGAAGAGTTTCACATTAGGTATGTACACGATGCAAAAAGTGCGAATCGGACTTAAAGTAGGCATCGCTGCGACGACAATAAAATTTTATCAGTGTTGTGTCAAAATTTCCTCCAGAAGTTCGCTGCATATGACAAGAGCTTGACGCAACTCGCCCATATTAGCATTTCTGACAGGTCGCTTTATGTTCTTTCTGACCTTTCTGGTTTAAACTAAATGCAAGAAACAGATTTTTGTCCAAATTGATAACTTTCTAATTGGATCGATCATAACGCAATACAAGCATTCCCTATTATATAAATTAATGTTTATAAGCAGGGAACAAGTTGTATAGTTTTAGGATTCAAATTATTTGGTAAAGCTCAAAATGAAATGTTATTCTCGTGTTTTATTTAAATAACGTTGTATCGTTGAGAAAAAAATGCAAATGAATAAGTTCTAGTGTCGATGTCAATTGAGATCAAGTTGTTTTGAAAAACGAGTAATTCTACTTTGTCGAAAAAGCTAACTTTAATGAGTTGCGTTTAAATTTTCTTAAGGAACAAGACTGAGCAAGAACATAGAAGTTAGAGTAATGAGCTAGTTATCTGTCCATGCTGAGTGACTCTGGTAACAGGTGGAACTTGAAAAGGTGGGCCTAAATTTGCGCAGGTTTTTAAAAGTGTAAGGAGGACTTAGAATAAAAATTTTAAAAACTTTAAAAATTTTAAAAATTGACTCTTTGAGATTTTCTCGGCAGAGTATGTATATGCTGCAAATGAAAAAAAATTAGTACTTTTCCGGAATAAATTGCAAATGAGTTCTGATGTTGATGTCGGTTGAGATCAGCTGGTTTACTGGAAGAGATAATTCTAGCTATCCTACATAACAAACAACCCAATTTCGAATTACTGAGTTAATCCTAAACCTTTAAGACTGGACTAGCACCAAACTTATCCTTACGGTATTATTGTTAAATCTTGAATCCAACATTAAGGTCTTACTTAAAATGAACATGGGGAGATACTGAGTCAAACAGATATGCTCTTAGATGCGTGATGAACCGTTAATTTGGCGTATGCAGAACGTGTTTATTTGCGGACTTAATTAATGGTTAAGCGATGGTGTATACAACGGAGAGCGGGTGAAACATAGTACTAGCGCTGTATGGATTTTGTCGTTCGCAAACGTGAATACGATTATTTTAGTTAACTTACAATGATTTTTTTTTTCTTGGACTAAAAGAAGGAAAAACAATCGAAATAAATGGTTCGCTTAATTTCTTTTGTCTTGTGCCGTGAACTGCATTTTTGAGACTTTGAACAATCAAGTTGGACAACTGATATGCGTTTGAAAACACCTTCCGCATTCGTCCCTTGGATCATTTGCCGCTTACTTGTCGTTTTGTCCTAGGAAAATTTTTTTAACAATGCCCCACGACGAGCAAATTCAGAAAAGTCTCACGAAGCCAAGTATTCACTGATAACCAAAAAATTGCCTTGGAAAACCGCCGGTGGACTTTTGAGAGAGTTATAAATTTAGTTTTTTTAATCAGTGAAGCTTTTACATTCGAATCAAGTTCGGATTATAAGTAAATCCTTTTTACGTTATTGAACCGTTTTAACCTGTCAAAGGAAGAACTTATCCAGCAAGATTTTCTGTGTATGAATCATGCGTATTTAAGACATTTTTTCAGAACGTTTTCATCTCGTTGTGATTGATTATTTTGTTAGACATGCACTCGTTGTTGTTGATATTAATTACGTCTGCCAAACTTCAGTAGAAGTACTTTTAGAAGTAGAATTTTTCGGGTGACAAGAGAAATAAAATGCTTCTGGTTATGCTGAAATTATATCTGTCACCATTGACTTGCAAATTAGGATAGTTTAATCGATCGTTTTGTCAGTTTATAGCTCGGGTGACTTGGTTTAAAAATAAATAATTTCTCCCTATGAAAAGAGACATTCAATTTGCTGTGTTTAGTACCTGGTCTTAGAGTGTGCAGGCCCAACTGAGAAATATGGAATTACAGGAAGTTGGATTACTGTGTTTTCTTAGTAGCAAGGTAGAGGGAGTTCAACAGGGCGAAAAACGTTCGGTTTTGAACATGTTATGTACAGAAGGCAAGCCAAAGGCTCGATTAAACACAACTAAGAATATAATCGATTGCCTCACAAAAACCGCGTGTCGAGAGTATTTTTGATGCAATTTTCAATATGAGCAAAGCAAAATATTTTTCTATCAGGGTATAACATGTTCTTACCCATCCTCCTTGATAACTGTTTCGCGTGCGTAAAATAGTTCATTTCTCCCTTGAATACCTCTGTTGTTTTTTATCCTAAAAAGTTTTCAAAAGACGCGTTTTGCAAAACTTGCTTAACGTTTTCTCCTGTGCGCATCTTTATGTTTTAAAGGCCTGCTTCTTATATGACGAGTTATTGACTTCCTCCTAACGTTCCCAGCTTAGAATTAATTCTTTTCTTTATGTCAGATGACGAACGAGGAGATACTCTCAACTTTGTTCCTCTTTTATTCCCGCAGAGGTCTGAGTACGAGCAAACCGTATGTCTCTTTCATGTTCATTTATCCTTCCTCGCATTGATCTCCCTGTTTCACCGATGTACACTTTGCCGCATTCACATGGGATCTTGTAAACGAAACCGTTTTGTTTTGTTGATTCCAGGGCGTCTTTAGGTCGTACTAAATGAGACCTAAGTATTGTGTCAGACTTTTAAAACGGTCCGTATGCCTTGATGTTGTAGGCAGCGGCGAAGAACCTCTGATACACCCTTTATGTAAGGGAGAACGGCAGTAGATTTAAATTCCTGCGCGGGTTTTTTGTTGACTGTTGATCTGCCATCTTGACTTGCAAATTAAGATAGTCCAATCGATCGCTTTGTCAGTTTAGCTCAGGTAAGAGAAAATAAAGAAACAATTATTTCCCCTTGGTTTTTTTCCAAAGCTTGTCTTTTGCACGTTAAAAAGAACAAAACAGAACAGGTCACGCTTTACCTTAGGGAGGTCCCAAGGTTTGTATTAGGTACGTAGACATAGTTATGGATGTCAGCATGATGGTAATTGTTCTTTTCCAGTGCAGTTTTGACATGTAACTTTGAAAATATTTCTGTTTCTGCGAATTCACTACTAATTTAGGCAATGAGGATTGATATAATGCAAATATTCCCATCCTGCTGTTAAAAGACTTATAAACATTCAAAAACAAGAGAATACGATCCATACATCTGTTTGTCTTTAAATCGCTGAAGGTAAGTATTCGAATGGTGCACGAGAAAAACATTTAGAAATTTGTTTCGATAATGAGCGGTAACAATTTTTAAAAACTAGTTTAAATTTTGAACACCGGAAACTGCAACAACAGATGATATCGACAAGATATGACCAGACGAAAAACATCTTTCTCTATTTCTTTACCGAGCTCAAAACTTACCATCCCTTCCTCACCGTGGAGTCTCTATAGCTCAATGGTAGAAGGGGTAAGTTTCTAAAGAAACTGTGGTGCTGCGTCGGTGGGAGACTATAGCAGGTAATTTAGTGTTAACAACTGGGTTGAAAACGTAAATTAGCCACCGTAAAGGGTAAAAAAGCTGACGTTTCGAGCGTTAGCCCTTCGTCAGAGCGATTGATTGAATGGTAGAGCATCGGAGCGCGGAATCCGAAGGTCTGAGAGTCGATTCCTCATGGGGACTCAGAATTTTCTCTTTGTCCCACGCTCGTGACAAGACGAAAACATCTTTCTCGATATCGAGATCGTTATCCGCGTTATCATTCGAGTTATGGAAAAGAATAACTTCCCAGCGTGGTGCGAAATTAAAAATAGACTGAAAAAACAATCATGGGTCACAGGGATAAGTTCCGCTTACAGTTAATATTCTGTTGTTTAAAAATAAATAAAAAGTTCTCTGTATAGAGTTTAGCTGCTGTTATATGCTAATACATAAAGTGAACTTATTGTAGGTTATTAGGATGCTAAATTTAACGCAAACATGAGTTTAATTTCCATAACAATTCTCTTCCAAATAGATCTTGAAGAACACTATCTCCACTTGTATTTGATGGCAGGAGTAAAAGATGTTGGTGTCTATTACAACAAAAATAACTTCTGATTATTTGTCCATGACAAGTCTCTGGAAAGTTATATGAGTAAAACTACTCTTATTGCAAAATAAAAACTTGGTTTGGATTCACAATGATATTTCAAGACAGAGCCGTTATGATGAAATCATTGCAAACGTAAGACATCGAAAACGTTCATTCCAACTTGCGTTGAGGCCGAGACCACGTAGTAAAGATCATTCACGCCATACACTTTTTCCAGAAGAAGGAAATTGAGTTTCAATGAAATTATATTTTTAGAACAGGAACAGTGTCTCCACCGTCATTAAGGAGACTGACAAGAGGCGTTATGATGGCTCTCCGATATACACCTACATAGAGGAGAATTCAACAGCTGCCTCGGGATTACGATCTTTCTTCAGTTGTTCCATGTACGATTCTTGACAGTTTATCTCTGTAATGAATAAAAAATCGATAAAGCAGATAAAAATGGAAACTTGGTTTTGGATTCTTGGCTGGTCT